ACGCCCTGAGAAACATCAAATGGCAGATTTGAACGGGGAGAAAGTTCCCATCTGAACTGATTCATTCTGCTTTTCAACCCCAGGTGGTGGAACAGGGTTGGGAGAGGGGAAACCAAGAATGTTACATATGGAACAATGAGATTTGTGTGCTTTTAGGCAGCTCCTGCTTTAGTCCCAGGACATGGTGACAACTGCCAGGAGGTGAAGGAGGTCTCACCACGATGCTGCATCTCCCTCCTGCTCACACAGAGCCTTCCCTGGGGGTGTTATTTCAGAGCTGCTCTTCCAGGTCACACCAACTTTCACACCATCTCCCTCCCCTTCCAGCAGCAAACCCCTCAGCTCTGCCTGCTGGATCCATGAAAACACCAGGAATGTGGCCCCTGGGCTGTATTATGGGAAGCAGCAGGTGATGAACACTCAAAAGGGCAAATTTACTGAAGGACCAAGAGAGTTTTCTTTGCTTTATTACAGCAAATTATCACAGCAAATTACTCCACTGACAAATCCATGGGGTGGGAAGATCTTGACTCCTAAAATGAGGTTTCTTTCTGGGATGGGAAAACCCTACAAAGTTCTGCTGCCAGTACATAATTCTCGGAGAGTTATCCAGCTGCTTTTCTTCCCATTACACCTTAGAATGCCTTTTTTTTCAAAGCCTGTCCCTCTGGGTTCCCATTTTGGCTGTTATTCCTGGTCCTCCTGCACCTGGAAGCAGCAATTTGCCATCCTGTTGTTGTAATTCCATTCACAGCAATTACGGTCGGTGCTGCATAAGAGAGTTATGATTCCAGCAGTAAATAGGCAGCGAGATCAAATCTTGACTCATAAAATTAGGTTTCTTTCTGTAATTCCTGCTTGATCCCAGCTCCACTCTCATGCAATGCACTCCAGAGGGTTATTTTTTGCTTTGCTATTGCAACCACAGCCAGGCAGGATTTCAGCCTTCATCTGGCTGGGCATTTTTAAGGTTTGTTCTTCCTTAGGCTGTGATGGTTTGCAGTCACTGATGGGCTCTGTGATGTTGGATCCTCACTCTGTTGCCCAGCAAAATTACATGTATTCAGGATACCTGCTAGAGAAGTTTTCACTAATTTCTGGGCAGGATGGGCTGTGCTATAATCCCTCTTTTCTTTCTCCCCTCATTATGGCAGGGACATGGACAGTCAGATATGTTCAGCTGCAGTGGATGCTGATTTTTTTTTGCCCTGCCAAAGGAGAATTTGGAATGATATCATTGGTTACTCTGGGTCTGTGTTCTTATCTCCTTTCTGGTTTGTGTGCTTTAGGCAGAAAGCCCATAATTTATGAACTGTGCCAGTGGGGTGGCTCGGAGATCAAACACCAAAGGGAAAAAAATCTGGCTGAGAACAAGTGCCCTGGAGGGAATGTGTTTTATTAATCCACTAATTAAGAACACCCAAACAAGGCTATCAGGTATCAGTCAGCATGTCTTAATTATGTTTAGTCATCCTTTGGGGAGGTTCATGGCCACTGACTGCTGGAGTGACAATGTGAGCCCAGGCAGAATGGGGCAAGTTGTGAGATGGACAGAGGGACAAATCCTCTGTGCTCACCCAAAACAGCCAGAAAAACATCATCTGCAGCTGTCCAGGTTTTCTTTTGTTGTTGCCATATCATAAAAATACCCCAAAATACCAGTGGCTACAAGGGAGGGAGGTTTCCATGGCTGAGTGGATAAAACAGGGAACGGACACTCGAGGTCTGGGCTCAGTTTTCATACCTGGATGACTTTAAGCACATCACATCCTCACATGGGAATGTTCAGGTGATGGAAACTCCCTCATGGTGCTGCCAACCTGCAGGTTGGCACCAGATGAACACTTGAGATTTTGCATCAGAGCCTCAGCAAATGTGTTGTCCCATTCCTGGAAGTGTCCAAGGCCAGGTTGGACAGGGCTTGGAGCAACCTGGGACAGTGGAAGGTGTCCCTGCCCCTGGCAGGGGGTGGGACTGGATGTTCTTTAAGGTCCCTTCCAACCCAAACTATTCCAGGATTCTGTGATTTCCTTCTCAGTGCTCTCGGTATGACAATGAATATTGTGAAATTCATCACGTTTTAATTGTAATTCAACAAAACCCCCAAGAGTGAAGGTTAATGTTCACACAGAACCAAGGAGAAGAGCCCCAAAATACTGCAGTGACAAAGTGCTGAAGTGTCACTGGCCCCTGGGGACAGCACAGCAGCAGGAGGAGACATCACAGCTGCTGCTGGAGGAGGCTGGAAACTGTCCCTCTCCTTGGAAGACACACAAAGTCCTTCCAGGAAAACCTTTGGGTGCATCAGGAATGCCAGGCATGGATGGCTGGAAGAGCCTGAGGCCTTTTGTGCTGTAGATTTTCTTCAGGGTGAGAAGAAATCTGAGAGTGTCCAACTAAAGGAGCTCCTTGTCCTGCTCCTCCAAGGCCTCAACTCCAAAGGCAGTGGAAGGAGCACCAGGCTGGAACTTCCTGGGTCATTTCCACAGTCACCTATTCCAAGGAGGTGACTTTAGAGGAAAGATGTCCTTCCTCATTTCTGAGAGCCCCAGGATGAGCCACACATGACTGCACCTCCTGACCTGCCCCTGCTGAGCTCCAGTTCTTTTTACATCCTCCTATTTTTGGAGTCCCAGCACAAAAACTTGGCTTTTTTTTTTTTTTGGCCCAGACTGTGATGCTGAGCTTGTCTGCCCTGCTGAGGAGAGCTGCTTTCCCAGGCTCAGCACCAAACTCAGCCCCAAAGTTTCAGCTGGAAATAAAAGAGTTTATAAACACCGACTGCCCCATCCCACCACCCTTTTCCTTTGTATTCTGCCCTTCAAACATCCCAGCTGGGTCACACAGAGAGAAAATGGGATCTTCCCAAACCCCCAGAGCACAGGAGGAGTGTGGGGCTGCTGTGGCTTCTCCCAGATTCCCCCCCACGAAGAAACTGAGATTTAACACAATATTTTAAGCTGAGATTTAACACAATATTTTAAGCTGAGATTTAACACAATATTTTAAGCTGAGATTTAACACAATATTTTAAACTGAGATTTAACACAATATTTTAAACTGAGATTTAACACAATATTTTAAGCTGAGGGTCAGGACAGCATTTAAAGCTCCACTTTTTAGACAGAGCTGGGCTTTGCCTTTTTTTTGTCTGAGCATTAATCCAGTCCTATTTCATTTATAAGGGGTATGGTCTGGCTGAGCTCTCCCTGCAGGGATTGCAGGGATGCTCCCACCGTGCCCGTGGCTGCAACACCTGAACCCAAACACCCAAACAAAGTGTTCAGAACCTTCAGACCATCTCCACCTCCAAGCCAGCATTTGTAAGAACGTTGTAGATGGTTCATATATTTCCTTCATGACTGAAATTAGGAATGGCTTTAGAATAATAACTTAAAAAATTAGAACAATAACCCCCAAATTCAACTTCTCTCATGACTGCCCTAAAGCAAACCCTGAAAAAAAAAAACCCTCCCAACCATTTACAGCTTTAAAATGGTCCTTTTCACCTCTGGCTTGGATTTGGGGGGGATAAGATGATGTGGAGCTCTTCCTGCCATCCCAGCCCCCCCTGGATCCCTGATTTCCCTGCTCCATCTCCTCCCAGCCGTGGAGTGACATGTGAGACACCTACTCCCCATCTGCACGTTTCCAAATCAGAGCAGCAGATCTGTGATTACAACTGGGAGCTGGAGGGACTTCTCCTCTTCCCCCACTGCAGTTTTTCTCACCCCAAGAGAAAAAGCCCAGCAACAGCCGTGGAGGTGGGTTTGGATTCCTCCTGGAGACAAGGAGGTTTTCGTGCTGCAGTGATGCACAGTTTGCTTGGGCTCGAAAGGCATGGATGCAGAGTGGGCTGGGTGTTTGGGAATCCAGCTTCCTGCCCCCGGATTATTATGGAAATGTGACCATCAGGTGATGGCAACAAAGGTTGCTGAGCACAGCCTCCTTGAGCACCTTCACCGAGGTTCGTTGTGAGACTCGGGAGAGACCTCGTGTTTTGAATCTGCAACTTTTTTTAGAGCAAATGCTTTCAGGTTTCTCTGGAGAAATGCTTTATAAACACCTACTTGGACAAAAATATGAAAAAATATTCCTGTGAATCAAACCCAGCAGAGAAACAGGGCGTTGGAAATTCTCAGCCTCTTGCAGAATGTCTATTAAAACCTCTCCTGCCACCCCCTCTGCTCAGCTGTGCCCTGCAGTGCCCACTGCAGCTTGGATTTCTGGCAGAATGAAGGTGTTTCTCGGCCACAAAGTACAGTTCAGGTGAGAGGAGAGGGATTGGAAACACTGAGAGAAGAACAGTCTTGAGAGATGGAAAAGGAGGGGGTTGTTCCTCTCCTGTGCACTCATCCTGATCCACGGAGAAGGGAGCTCAGCCATGGCCCTTCCCACCTTGGAGCTCATGGGCTTTTTCCCTGGGGTTTTTTCATTGTCATGGAGGGTTTAGTTCCCCAATTCCACACTGCTGGTGCTCCCTGGGGGTTCTCCAGTGGCTCTGCCAGGCAATAAGTGGCATTTGAATCCATCAGACTGATGTTTCCATGCAAACAGGGAGACCTGGGAAACATCTGAGCAGAGCTTCTGATCCCAAGAGCTGGGAAGTGCCAGGGCATCCCAGCTCCTTCTGCCTCAGGCTGGGAAGTGTGATGGCCTCACCCTCTCCCCTCTCACCCCTGTTTCCCAGCAGGATTCCTGCTGTTCCCGTGTTACTGTTGTGCAGCCTCCCATCTTTAGGGTTCCATCCAGCTCTGCCTGGATCCTGTGAAAATGAAACAGATGCCAGCAGCTCCTGGGATGAGCCCTGAGCTCTCCCACTGTGCAATCCCTTTGTCCAGGCATTGATCTCACACGCTCACTGCATAATTCCAACACAAATCCTGAACCTGGAGACAAAATTAAATGACGTGTCAAACTGAATGTTCTGTGAATTCACTCCTTCTCTCTTTTTTCTTTCTCTTCAAATTTTCTTTCTAGGAACAAGATGCCCATGAAGTTTAACCTCCTTTAGCCTTAAAAAGCAAAAAGTTATGGATCCTTTGTACTTTTCCAACGCGTTCGGCGCCGAGGGCGGTTCCGGCGGCGGGAATTCCTCCCTGCTGACGAACACGACGGAGAACGGGACCCTCCCGGAGCAGCCCCCCTTCAAGTACGTCCACAAAGTGCTCATCCCCATCTGCTACCTCCTGGTGTGCGCCGTGGGGCTCAGCGGGAACACGCTGGTCATCTACGTGGTGCTGCGTCACGCCAAGATGAAAACCGTCACCAACATCTACATCCTCAACCTGGCCGTGGCCGACGTGCTCTTCATGCTGGGCCTGCCCTTCCTGGCCACCCAGAACGCCATCTCCTACTGGCCCTTTGGCTCCTTCCTCTGCAGGCTGGTCATGACCGTGGACGGCATCAACCAGTTCACGAGCATCTTCTGCCTGACGGTGATGAGCATGGACCGGTACCTGGCCGTGGTTCATCCCATCAAATCCACCAAGTGGAGGCGGCCCAGGGTGGCCAAGCTCATCAGCGTGACCGTGTGGACATTCTCCTTCTTGGTGGTGCTTCCAGTCATCATCTTCTCGGACGTGCAGGAGGACTTTCAGACCTGCAACATGAACTGGCCGGAGCCCGTCAGCATCTGGTCGGCGGCTTTCATCGTCTACACCTCGGTCCTGGGCTTCTTTGGGCCTCTGCTGGTGATCTGCCTCTGCTATTTGCTGATTGTCATCAAGGTCAAGTCGTCAGGGGTCCGGGTGGGGTCTACGAGGCGCAGGAGGTCGGAGAGGAAGGTGACCAGGATGGTGGTGATCATCGTGGTGGTCTTCGTGCTCTGCTGGCTCCCCTTTTACACCATGAACATCGTCAACTTGATATTCATCCTGCCAGCAGACCCCGTGCTGGAGGGCTTGTACTTCTTTATGGTGGTGCTGTCCTATGCAAACAGCTGTGCCAACCCCATCCTTTACGGGTTCCTCTCTGACAACTTCAAGCAGAGCTTTCAGAAAGTCCTTTGCCTGCGGAAGGGCAACGGCATGGAGGACGGGGAGCCCGTGGAACACAGGCAGGAGAACAGCAGCCGCCTGCAGGAGTCCATGCTGACCCAGAGGAACGTGGAGTTCAACGGCCACATGCAGACCAGCAAGGTCTGAGGGCGTGGGTTGGGGCTGCAAAGGGCTGGTGGAGCTGGAGAACTTGGGGGGCCTCGAGGAGAGATGAATTCGTGGCAAAGGTGAAAGGTGGAGACCCACAGGCTCCAGTAAATGTACATAGAAGTGGCTTCACTCCCCTCCCTTCCCCGGCTCGGAGTGGTGGGGGCTGTGCTGGGCTGTGGCCAAGCTCTCGTGGTGACCTGGGTCATGTGGGACCACTTTGGGTCCTCTGGAGATCTCCAGGCTTTGTACTGCCCTAGTGATGCAAAACCACACGAAATCAGTTTTAACCACCTTGTTAAGCTGGGCTTATGGCTGCTCTGCACTGTTGGGAGCAGCTCAAAGCAGAAAACAGCTCAGACAGTGTCTCTGAGATCCATCAAGGGGATCTCTTACAAGAAAAATGCTGTTTCTTAAGAGTTTCATACCCAAAAGGCCCCAGCACTGACCTCAGAGCTGTGCATGAGCCATGGTTGGAACCTGCTGGGTGCTCCTTCTGCATTGGTTTGCTGTCATGAACCCACCTAAGGGATTCATGGTGCCCAGGAATCCTTCAAACACACCAAGAATGAGGAAAAAAACCCCATGATTAGGAAGACCTAAATCCTAAACAGGTCTAAATCCTAAAGGATTCAGTGTATTCATGATGTTCTCACATTCTAACCCAAAGTGCATAGAAAACGTGCTGTGACCACTCTGTTGTTCTGTCAGTGCTGATCATTGTGAAGTCCTGGGGAGCTGTCGTGTGTATTTATTGGTTCTGAATGTCAGTCTGGACGTGAATATAAACTGTATTTTCAGAAATTAAAACAAGTTCAACCCCCCTCCTGGCTGTGGTTTAGTTGGCAGGGTGGGGTTTGCTCAAAGGCTGGATCTTGGAGGGCTTTGGCAGCCCTTGAGGACTCTGGGATTCTATTCCTGCCACACTCACATTCCCCAAACATGAGAGCACAAGAACTCACCTGATACAACGAGGGACAACTGCAGGATCCAAATCTCACTCCAAATCCCAGTACAGTCAGGTCGACTCTGATTAATTAAGTCACCCACTATCTATTATTTCAGGAATTATCAGGCTGTTGCAGGCATAAATCAACTTCTTATCAGTCCTTGAGACATGGGGAGTAATTAGTGCAGGCCTTGATGTCCTCCCTGCCAGCTTCATCTGCCTGCAGTGGGTTTGCCATGAGTTCTCCATTGATGGGATTAGAAAAAACCATTTTAGCTCCCAGCTCGTTTGGGAAGTGGCAGTAATTAATAATTAATAATTAATGCTCCCGTGGAGGGAGGTGCCCCGTGGGTGCAGCGCTGGGGACTTGCTCTGCAGAGCACAGGGATGGAGAATTCCAGTTGCTGAGTAAATCTGTGGCATTGTCCACCCCCAGCCTGATCCTCTGGAGCAGATGAACTCTTTTAAACTAAAAGAGGAGAGATTTAGGTGGGATATTAGGAAGGAATTCTTCCCTGGGAGGGTGGGGAGGCCCTGGCACAGATTGCCCAGAGAAGCTGTGGCTGCCCCATCCCTGGAAGTGTCCAAGGCCAGGTTGGACAGGGCTTGGAGCAACCTGGGCTAGTGGAAGGTGTCCCTGCCCATGGCAGGGGGTGGGATGAGATGAGTTTTAGGGTCCCTTCCAACCCAAACCATTCTATGATTCTGTGAATTTGGGGTTAGACAAAACCACCAGCAGACTCTGAGTGGTTTGAGGACTTGGCAGACCCAAAATATCCTTCCAGACATTTCATTCCAGGATCAGACCCCCCTTTTAGGCATCTCATGCTCTCAGGCACATGGTGGGAGTGTCACATTATTGTGGTGGCACCTTGAGTGACACATTATTGAGGTGTCCTGTGCAGGGCCAGGAGTTGGACTGGATGATCCTTGTGGGTCCATTCCAGCTCAGGATATTCCATGATTCTGTGATCTCTCAACCTGTCAGATCCACAGGGACTTGGTGTTACTTCACCAGATAAAAATAAAAGCCCCTCATTGCAATAAGTCACACACCTGGAGATAAAATAATATAATGAGGAGCAGATGGAAGAATAAATCCCAGAGCCAAAGAAAATTAACAGAGGCTTCAGCCCCCCTGGAACATCCACTGGCACATCCCCTCCAGCCCTGGATCTTGCTCCCACACTAAGATTGAACAGAAGTGGAGCCAATCAGTGCTGATTTTGGTGTGCAACCCCCTTTGCAGGCCCTGATGAAGGGTTATCCTTCACTAATCACCTGGATTTTGATGCTCTGACCACCAGTGATGACCAGAAAGACTCAAGGGAAGCTGAAAAGCACAATCCATGTGCTGATCAACCCAAGGATCCTCTTTGCCTTGATTTCAGAGCTTGATAAAGCCCTGAAGATTAACTCCTTGCCAGCAAGAATGACACCAGGAGGCAGAAAACTTGGAAGCCTCTGAATTCTTTCCTAATTCCTCTCTTGATTTACAGCACAACTTGGCTTCTATTAATTTTCCACAAACCCCCAAAGAAACCACTTTAGGCTTGTGTGCAGAGTGTACCCATGGGACTGAAAAGAGCTTTCCATTAGGGTAATGACTGATTTGTTTTCTAATTTCCCAAGAATCACAACTAATTTTATTTCCTGAGCGGGCAGCGGCTCTGGGGCCCCAGGGAACGGGTAAATGTGCCTTTGCAGAAGGAATCCTTGTTTTGCAAACACATTGCACTTAATGAAATCCATTCCCACAGAAACAGGGGCAGCTAAAGAGGAAGGGATGACTCCAACCAGTGAGGAAAAGCTTCTGCTCTCGGTGTCAACTTGTGGCCTCACAGATCTTGGCTCAGCTCCTGATTTTAACCTGACAGCTTTGATGTGAGGTGGGCTCTGATTCCCCTCGGTTTTCCACCTCTAAAACCAACCCAGTGCTTCCTTTCCCACACCTGCACAGAGGAGGGATTTGAAAAGTCCCAGCACAAAGTGCATGTTCGGTGCCAGCACCAAAGTTTTATTAAAACCTCCCAGGAATAGTCACTTTTTACGAAAAGGAGAAGTCCTGGTGCATCAATTTGGCATCTCTTTGACATAAGTGTCCTTTCCCTAATCCAGGTGGGGGTTTTGCTGGAAAACACAGCCCTAGATGGACAATCAGGTGGCTCTTGTTGACAATGAATCTCCAGAAAATGTGCAGCTTGTTGTTACCTTCTCCAAGAGAGACGATTTGGGAAGGAAACTGGGGCTCAGTGGGGCTCTCTTGGGGCAAAGGGGATGAATTGATCACTCAGAGTGGGTCTTGAGGGAGGATTCAACATGTTCACCCCTCTTCCATCAGTGGCATGGCCAGGATGGTGCTGCTGAGCCTGGGGAAGGGCTCAGTGCCACCAAGAGCCCCTTTTCCAACACTCCCAGCCCCAGCAGTGCTGAGGGGGGTGGAAAATGAGCCAGGGAACTCCTGCCAGGGCTCAGGGGTTGTGTGTGTGGGGGGGCAGGCTAGAAACAATATCCTCAATTCATGGCCAAAGTGCAGGTGGTTTGTTCACAGTGACAGAAGGGGAGGGATGAAATCTGGGTGAAACCTCGGGAAATCACTCCCTGAAGCACAGGAAGAAGCATTGCAGTATTTAGCATCCAGCAGGGTGTTTGACACCCTGAATGCTGAAATAGGAATAAAACCCAGGCTGCCAGAGCCTGTCTGAGTGCTCCTGCAGCCAGCCTTGCCCCCATATCTGCTCTGTGTTATCTGCTGGGGTCCCAGCCTTGCCCCAATATCTGCTCTGTGTTATCTGCTGGGTCCCTGTTCCATCACACTCAGCCCTGGCTGTAATTTCTGTCCCTGTCTCCAAGCCCTGGGCACATTCCCTGCCCTGGGAGCAGCCCTGGGTGAGCTGTTCTTCCCTCAGGATCTCACTCTGCCCTCCTCAAAACCTTGTCTGATTTACAGTGAAAACCAAAAATTTAACCCTTTTTTTCCTCCTCCCTGCAAACCACCCTCACAGCCAGGCACTTCTAGCTTTTTAAGAGGTTTTACAGCCAAAGTCAGCTCAGGTTTTACCCTTCACTGGCCTCTTTGGAGATTTGCTGCCATCCCAGAGCAGGAGAATTCCAACCAGAGACCTTCAGTGGGTGAGTTACCAACGTGCCTCTGGCAGGTTGAGCTGATGGCTGATGGCAAACAGCCCTTTCCACAGGATTTCCACAGCCACTGGAATGATTCTGCCAGGGCTTTATACCCAGCCAGGCCTTATCTGGGGAGTATTGCCCAATTTTATTCTCTGCCAGCTGGGGGGGTTGGGCAAAGAAATGACTGACTGTGCTGTGAAAACACAGCAAGGATTAGAAAGTGGCAGCGTGAGCCGTGAGAAATGTGTTGTTTCTGTTGCTAAAATGCCATTAAAAGGCAGAGAAATGTTTTTGCCAAGTTCTCTTCCTATACATTAATAAATTAGGCATGGTTTAATTTGCATTAGAGGAGGTTAAACAGATTGAGCAGAGGACACAGCAGGTTTTAAGCTGGACTGACTCATCCCCCTCTCAACCCAGGCACGACCTAAAATACAGGGATGCTCCTTATCACAGGAGGCCAAAACAACCTTTCCCTTCTTTCCCAGTTTCCTGCCAGATGAAGGCTCAGGAGGACTTTGATCCAGTGCAGCCATGGGGGTCAGGATCCCTCCTGGAATTCAGGGCTGGGAAAGGACTGCAAAGCTCAAGCCTGGGGTGCTCAGGTGTTTGGAGAGAAAAGGGAAATACAGGCAGGTTGCCTCCAGCACAGCAATACACTGGATACCATCCACTGCTCCAGGAGGGAAACTCAGCCTTGTGTTATCCCAGTGTTGCAAACTCTCTGCCCCCCTTTGATTCACTCCCAGCCCTGTCTCCTCTGGTCCCAAATCAACATTAATCTTAATTGTGTCTCAGCTAACGAGGCTCTCAGAGTTTATTAAACGGGCTTTTGTGCTCCTTAATTGAAAATCTCAGTGCAGAGGTCTCGGTGCTGCTCCTGGACGAGTGGGAGGCTGAGAGCCTGTGCCAGGGCACAGTG